AAAAAAAAAAAAAGCGGCGACTGGCTGCTGTCGGAGCTGTCGATTGAGCTTCCGCTTCCGCGTTGTCGGCAGGTGGCGCGCGGGACATTTTTCGAGGCCTTGATTTTTGGCGGCATTTTCTGATCCCCACCGATCCGAATCGGAACAGAAAATACAAACTCGTCTACAGCAAGCTCGGCTGAGATGCGGGACCCTGCTTTTCCCGCTCTCATTTCGTTTCTATCGGCTCAACTGTTCCGAGAACTGGTCTAAGGAAGGTGGCCAAGAATCCCCGCACGATGGACTCGACATCGACCGGGAAGCCAACGCATGAATTTGGCGGCCAAGAGGGTAAGAGCGATGAGACCGATGCGGGGGCGATGGAGCGCTGTCCGCATTCGACCGAGGAAAAGGCAAATTTGAGAGCCCGACCCAAAGCGCGCTTTTTTGCCACCAACGCGCAACGGACGAGTCTAAAAGTGCAAATGTCTTGGATCCGGCCAAGCGGGACTCCGATCGGGTCCCGTCGCAAAGTCACAGCAGTCACAGCAGTCACAGCCGTCACAGCAGTCACCCTCGCAAAGTCACAGTGATCAGAGCGAGGAAAGGTCGAGAGAAGCGCCTCCACACTCGCCATTCGCTGCCGAGATCCACTGCTGCATCCGTCAAGCATCTCTCCACCGCCACCATCCCATCTCCTGCTACAGTAGCTCAATCTCAGCTCCGAGCCGAGGCAACCCACCAAGAAAAGGTCTCAGATGGCAGAATCATTCGCCGCTCTCCGCCAACCTTATCGGTCGTAACAGCTCTGCCATCCGCCGCATTCTCCTTTGCTCTCGACCAAGACCCCATCTAGGCGCTTGCAGGCACATCCAACCGCCACCACCACCCACGCCGCCATCCAAGCCGCCTGACCATCGTGCCCACGTCGCCGTACTCCGCTCAATCGAACCACACACGCCCAGACTACGCCACGCCACCCCGCCCCAATGTCAGCCGTCCATCTCCGTCCGCTCCCCAGATAAGCGGTTGATCTTCCACCGCATCCATCTCGCAAGCATCGCAAAGCATCGCAAGCATCGCAAGCCTCGCAAGCCCCGCAAGCCTCCGTCGCCGCCACATCCTTCTCAATATATACCTCGCTCGGTAGCGCGTTCCTTCTTACCCACACCCATCCAACCGTCGCCCTTACGATCCCACTCTGGTAGTGGCATCTACATCCACAGCTCGTCACCATGGCTACGCTCGAGGTGCAAAGGCCCAAGCCGCGTCACCGTTCCCCTTCCCTTCACCAAGCCGCTCCCTCGTCTCCCACCATCATCCGCACCCCAGACTTTATCCTCCTCCCCTCGGTCCCCACACACGAACCCGAAGACAATCTGCCCAGCCCCATGGCCCTCCAGCACCAGTTTGCCATGGCTCAAGCACAAGCACAGGCACAACGTAGCAGCAGCCAAAACTCGCTCGGACTCGGCTCCTCCTCGGACGAGCACCACAAGGATGCCGACGAGCTCGAGGAAATCGTAGAGCCAGAGGCCCAGCTCGAGTCCGACCTCAACCGCGACCACGCCACCACATCGCACGATGCCCTGCGCGACCTCCGCAACCACCAGCTCGAGTCGCTCCAGGCCATCGCACACTCCATCGCAGACTCCCACTTGCAAGCAACAGCCGCTTCGTCTTTACGCACACCGCACGCAGACCTCACACAGATCCTCGACGACATGTTTGCATCGCTCCGACGCATCGGCGGTCACAATGCGCCTCTCTCGCCCACCTTTTCCCGTCCTTCCGTACACCACATGTCCGACCTCGACCGTCTCGTCCTCCTCGTAGACAGCTTCTCCCAAATCACCGCCACATCCACCGACGCCGAGCACGCAAGCCAGCTCGCGCGACTCAACGCACTCACCAACGCGCTCGTCGAATCGGATCGCCGCATCGCTTCCAATCAGCTCGACAGCCCACCGCGAACGCCTAGGTCGCTCGCATGGTCCGAGTCCATGCATCCTCGCCGCTCCTCCACCCACCAGCTTCACATGCACTCGCCCCAGTCCAGCTCCCACTTGTCCGGCTCGCGAGGCTCCTGGAGCTCCACACACTCGGCTGCCACCCTCTCCACCTCCTCCGACGAGGCCGCACCCGCCCCCCACAAGAACGTCGCAGCTCTCGAGGACGCCGCCGCCGCCTGGTCGCCCAGACGCTCAGAGCTGCTCACGCAAGCCGGTCTCGTTCAGCCACAGCCACAGCAGCAACACGTAGACGGATCCGTGTTCGACATGGCCACCATCCGCACGCGCACCAACCCCTTCTCCATCGAGTCGCTCTATACCCGCGAGCCAATCGCCTCCTCCACCACCGTCGCCCCAGCCCCTCGCTCGCCGCGCTCCGATCAGGCTTCCCGCGCCGCTTCCACCATCGGAGACACGTCCGACTCCACCGCAACCGCCCTCCCCAACCGCAAGCGCTTCTCCGTGCAGACCGACAGCGCCGCCAGTACTTCGCTTCCCTCCTACTCGTGCGACGCACCCGCCTACCACGCAGACGAAAACCAAAAGGCGTCCGCACACGATGCGCAGTCAACCACGTCGGATGGATTGCCAGGCTACGACGCCTCGCCAGCACCAGCTGCATTCGCCCAAGACGCCAAAAAGCCGCTCGAGACACCCACGCTGCTCGAGCGACGTCGCGCCAAGTTGGCCGCACAGCACAGCGCCTACGCGGCGCGAACTCCCGAAGACCTCGCCATGGTGCAGAGCTCCATCGACCGCCTCTCCACCGTCATGCCCCAGCTCAACAACCAGCGCGCCCTCTCGCCCGAGCACCAACGCCAGGCGCAGCTCGACACCATCATCGGTCGTCTCGCCCACTCCAACGCACACCGCCTCAACGACCAGCGCAGCGAACCGCCCAGCTTCCGCCCCAGCCGTCCCGCGCCCTCGCCCCACCCGACCACTGCGCAAACGTCCGATCCCGAACTGCCGGCCACGCCCACCACGCCCGTGTCGCTGCACACGGCGCCCTCCGCATCGTCGTCGCGACGCTCGTCGCTGCTCCCCGGTGCATTCGGCCGCAAGCTCTCCATCGCCAGCATCGGCAACGCTCTCCGACGCGCATCCATCTACGACGCCTCCAAGCTCAGGTCGCGCGAGGGGTCCGAGAGCAGCACCGACGGCACCATCGCCGCCGCCGCTGCGCCCGCCACGCGCCGTCGTGCCGCCACGACGGCCGACTCGCGCTCCAAGTCCGACATTGCCGAGGGCCTCACGAGCCTCTTCAACGACGGCGGCAAGGCGCGCAAGCCGAGCGCATCCGACGCCAGCGCCGCACGGCTGCAGGCGCAGTCGAGCTTCCGCGCCATCGACTTTGCGGACGACACGCCGCGCGGACGCGACGCAAGCCTCCAACCGCGCGCGAGCGTCGAGGAGGAAGACGACAGCATGCTCGACGACTACAGCTTTGCGACGTTCGACACGCAAAAATCCAACCACCGCCTGTCGGTCGTGGCGCCGCTCGACTCGCCGCACAGCCCCGTGAGCTGGGCGGCGAGCAGCAGCGCCGGCAGCCGACGCAGCTCGCAGCTCGTCTCGAGCCCCGCGACGCCGACGTGGCCGCGCTCGCCGTTGACGCCCGTGTCGCCGGCGGCGTCCAGGCGCCTCTCGAAGCCCGCGGTGACGTTTGCCGCCGACACGCTCGCCGCACCGCCGCTGGGCAAGTCGACCGCCGCATCGCTCCAGTCGCAGCTGCGCGACTCGGGATTCACGCCTCTCCGCCCTGGTAAGTCGCTTGCCTCCGTCGCGCCGCCCTTTCTGCATGAGCACCGCCCGCCTGCCGCCGTCTCTGTTTCCACCACCACCGCTGTCAGCAACCCGTGGCAGGACATCGTCTGTTACTCTGCTGTGACTGGCGACGAGTCTGCTGCGGGAGATGCAAAGCTGTCCGCCTCGTCTCCTTGGCCGCACAAGAGCAACACCGCTGACCCCCCCGCGCGTCCTTCTGCCTCTGCTGCCCCTGCCTCTACCTCTGCTGCAACACGGCAGTCTGAACCTCGCGTGGACGTGGAATTCTTGGCCGAGGCGCAGCCTGCGCTCGGCACGGTGTCGGTGATGCTGTGGACGAGCACGCGTGTCGACGCGCCGTTGGAGCTGGCGTACGAGCTGGTGGCCGAGCGCGGAGACGTGCATAGCCGGCGACTGCGTGTACGGCCTGTGGCGCGCAATGTACTGCTCAACGTGTTTGCGAGTGAAAGCAGAGCGGGCGGGGTGGAGGTGGTCTTGCCTGCGGCGGTGCGGCTTGGGCAGAGCGGGCGTGTGGCGGTAGGCGCGCAGCTGAGCCGGGTGAAGCTGCTGCTTACCGAGGCCGAGGCACGCAAGGGGGCGGAGGCGAGTCGT